TATTATTTAAACTTATATGCCGCCCTTCTCCCTATAGGACTCAGGGCGGCTCACAGCATATTAAAACACACAAACGCCATTCCCCATAAAACCAATTAAAAACCAAATATTTGTCGCTGTATAGTTAATTAAGATTCAAATTAAAATTATCCCTATTTAAAATTCTCCCTAGGCCAGACCCGCTTGTTGAAAAAGCCATATACTCCAGGGTTCCCAACCTTTCCGGGTTGTCAGCCAGCATGAGGGGAGAAGGGGGGGAAATTATGGTTTTGTGTGAGAGACAGGCATGTGCGCGCGCTGCCCATGTGAATGAGGCTGCAAGCACCGGTGCCTGTCACATGAATGGGCTGCGAGCGCTGGTGCTTGTGCGAATGGGCTGCGGGCGCCGCCACTCGTGCAAGTGGGGTGTGAGCGCCAGTGCTCACCGCTCACAAGAGTGGAGCTGCGTGCACCCGCACCAGCCCACCACTTATGCGGCCCAGTTGGGGACTCCTGGTATATCCTATCATGTCCTATTCTAGACTTAAGACCACAGTTAGGGCCAGAATTTCCATTGCTAAGCAAAGCAATTACTAAATGAGTCATGCCCTATTTTGCAACCATTTTTGGCATAGTTGTTAAGCAAAACCTTGCAGTTGTTAAGTGAATCATGCGGTTGTTAAGTGAATCCAGCTTTCCCTATTGACTTTGCTTATCAGAAGCTGGCTGGGAAAGTCTCAAATGGTGATAGCATGACCCTGGGATGCTGCAACCATCATAAATACCTGCCAGTTGCCAAGTGTCTGAATTTTGATCACATGGCCATGGGGATGCTGCAACGGTTGTAAGTGTGAGGAACTGTTGTCACTTTTTTTCACTGCTGGTGTAAATTAGAGCAGTTGCTAAATGAATAGCTGTAAATCAAGGACAACTTGTAGTCATTGTTAGTATCAAAAAATTGAAAAAGGAGAAGGGAACAAAGACTTCATTGAAGGCCTTGTAGTAGGCAATAAAGGCCACAAGTGTTTATTTTCTTTTCTATTTTCTGTTTATTTTTCTTTTCCACTGCATAAATGATTAGAATTATATTTCTTATCCTCCTTTCTCAATTGTGAAAACCCCCATGAGAAAAAACAGGCCATAATCAATCAGGATTGTTTTCTTCTGTAGTTTTTTTTTCTTTTCTGTTGTTCTTTCAGTTATTTATTCTAGAAGCTTCAAAGGCTTTCAGATATGTTTGACTTTACAAAGCAATGGAGAAGATTAGAGAAAACAGAATCATAAAATGGAATACACTTTAGCAATGCAGTAAGAAGAACAAGATAAAGCCAGAATATTCAAGGTTACAGTTTCCATTCAGGCAGCATTGGGATCAAATAGGAAAAAAGCAAAACTGGTGTAAAGTGAATGGGAAAAAAAAGTTGAGAGCTTTATGGGTTGGATTAACATTTTAAAGAACATGATTAGCTTGTGAGCCAGTATATTTCAACATTACTCATACAGCGTGCTATTTCTCCTTTGCTTACACAGGTGAAGCTGCAGGCATACAGGCATATTAAGGTCATTGAACAATATGTTACTGAGCAGCTGTATAGATGTACTCTGCAAAGCATTTGAGAACTGCAGTCCTATACCAACATGACTTGTAAATTACATGAATTATATTAGACAGGGCAATTTTGTTGCAATAAACAATTATTTATAACTTATAAAATAATTTAACCTCAACCTGATGTCTTCCAAATGTGGTGGATTATAATTCTCATTTTGCAGTTACTGTCTGGGGACAGTGAGGGTTGTTCTTCAGTATATTGGGAATTCAGTTGCAATTATTGTTTAATGCGCCAGATTTCAATAAGGTTAAATAAATTGCACAGTTATTTATGTGAGCATTATAAAAATAGCTTTAAATTTGATAAAGAAATATTACCAGATTTCAGTACTTTACAAACTTTCAATTATTTCCAAGGGAAAATTCTGGAAATTTACCTATGTGGATGCTTTCTTGCTCATAATTAAGATCAGAATTTTCCTCTTTTTTCCTAGGGCTAAGCAATCAAGAATGGCAGCTTAGCCTACCCTAGAAGCTTCTGTAAGGCTACTGGTAGTCATTAATAAGAGTGCCAAGATAGATCATCTTTGATATGGTCTAGCTCAGTGATGGCGAACCTTTTAGAGACCGAGTGCCCCAAAACAGCCCTCCCACCCCCATCCTCACTCTGCCCTGCCCGCTGGACCACCTCCACAGCCTGCCACAGATCACCCAGGCAGTCCAGCAGCGCCATGGCGGCCACGCCCTCTGCCCGTGCCCCGCAGCATCATCTGTGTGCAATGGGGCGCAAGGGCGGAGTCTTGTCCCCGCTGCCCAGCTACCATGTCCTTGGTTGCGCTGCTTCGCGTGGGCCGTGCCCGGGGGCGATTCTCCTCTGGGGAGGGGCTGCTGGTGAAGAGGGGGCTATGAGAGAAGGCGGGGCTGGGGCAACAGTGTGTGTGCCCACAGAGAGGGCTCCGAGTGCCACCTCTGGCACGCGTGCCATAGGTTCGCCACCACTGGTCTAGCTGCTCTTTGGGGATGTTGGAATAGCAAATTGATGAAATACTGATGTGACTGTTCCTGGGCAGTAGCAAGAATTAATTAACTGCAGCATTATTTTAAGTCATGTATTTACATGTTACAGTTTTCAGCTGAGATATTAGACTCTTGTAATTTACATATGGGAAACATTTTTATCTTTCTTACTGCTTTAGCAATTAAATTATCTGATATAAATCAGTAGTGTTGATGCCAGTGTTAGGATGGAATTATAAATGGAAAATGACTTGTATTTGACAGCTCCAAGTGCTCCAGTCAACTGGCGACGAGGGAAGCTCCTAGGACAAGGTGCCTTTGGTCGGGTATACTTGTGCTATGATGTAGATACAGGCAGAGAACTTGCAGCTAAACAGGTCCAGTTTGACCCAGACAGTCCCGAAACAAGCAAGGTATTTCCATGGTTAAACACTGATACTAAAATGCCTCTGTATTTTTCACTTTCCACTTTCCTGATCTATAATGACAAACTCTGTGACACAAGGGTGCAATTACTCGTGGCATAATTGAGCCATTTACTTAGCATTTTTTAAATTGAATTTCTTGTTGGAATTACTGGCTTCTTAGTTGTTCTCCTTTCTGCCTCTCTTAGCAATGGTATTTAGTCCTGTTTTCTCCTTATACTTACTGATGCATTGAGAGCAGGATAAAAACAATGCTACAGTGGTGCTTAAGAGTTTGTGAACTCTTTCTGAATTTTTTCTGCATAAATATGAACTAAAACTCAACTTATGAGCCATCCAAGTGCTAAAATGAGATAAAAGAGAACCCAATTAAACAAATGAACCCAAAGCATGATATTTCTTCATGTATTTATTGAGGCAAATTATCCAAAGCTGCCTATTTTGGGGGGGTAAAATTAAAAAGGGTTCACAAACTTTAAGTCCCGCTGCATGTTGACTTGTAGCTAGTCTTCTAACTCCTGGCCTCCTATGGTTAGAGAGATAGGGACAAGATAACAATTTGCTTAGAAAAGAAATACAATACAAAGTATAAGGACATTTGTATTTTTTTTCCTTTTAAATTTTTTATTAGTTATCAAAATATAAAATACAAAAATAAAATAAAATAATGGGAAAGTAAAGGAAGAAAAAAGGAAGAGGAATGGGAAGTCTAGGGTAAAAGGGAAAAAAGTAAAAAAGCATTAATTTACAAATCTTTTTAGTGCAGTATATTAAGATAACATATAGCCTCAATTTTTTACTTTTACATAGTAATATATACTAGCCATTTCTGTAACAACAAACCTGTCTAATCAGCAAAACTAAAAGTCAAAGTTTCATTTTTTTTCCACTTCAAGGACAAAGTAGAAGTCATTTCCAAGTGCAAACAAAGTTAGCTGTATTCTTTTCTTCAATTAAAACAATCAATTTAGCCATCTTTGCTAACTCCATCAGCTTTTGCAGCCAGTCCTCCATTGTAGGAATCAAACTATCTTTCCATTTTTGTGCATTCTTGCTGCTGTCAGCATCTATAATGTTAAAGTTCCATTTTTTTTCAAGATCTTTGTCCATTAAGCTTAAGAGAAAAGCCTCCGGCTTTACTTTATGTTTACTTTACTTTAAGTATTAAGACGTGAATCCTACTCCAATATTTCTTTGCTTTGTCTCAGACCCACCATAGATGGTAAAAAGTTCCTTCTTTACATTTACATTTGAAATACCTATATACATTTTTGACAATTTATTCAGTGTTAAATACCAATGGTACATCATTTTATTAAAAAAAAATATTTTAAATTATAATTTAATGTAAATTTTAAACCCTTTGTCCACTATTTTCCCATTGGTCAAGCATTATATTATATCCCAAAAAAAATTGCCTATTCGATCATACAGTGTTTCACGTAGGTATTCTCCAAAGTCAATAACAGTTTATAAATCTTAGCAATAGTGTGTTCATCATTACTACATAGTAAAGTTTCCAATTCACTTTTTTGCAAACGCAAATCCATAACGTTTAAATCTAATTTAATCTTCTCTTGAACTGTAAATATGTAAACCAATGAGACACAATTTGTTGTAGGTTTTAATTCATGCTTTGATGATGACTGGGAAGTCTCCACAAAAATAATTAAATAATGTTTTTATCTTTTGTAGATCTATTTTCTTTGCTTTATTTATTTATTTATTTATTTATTTATTCAAAGCAACCTTGCTGAATAGCGTAGCTATAGACAGGGTGAGTTTTTTACATAATTCTTTCTGTCAAACATCTAACCAGTGTAAACATGATGTTGAGATCTAGGATTATAATTTATTGTATCCGAGAAGCCAGCATCGTATTCTATCTTTAAGATCAAGTTGTGGTTATAAATGCACTGTTATTTGGGCACAGTACATTCTAGACTCATATGGAAATGGCAGCAAAACAGGAGAGAAAAGCTTGCATGTATCTGATAACATTCTGATTTATTAAGACCTAATCACTGTTTTCAATAAGGTGCAAACACTACCATTATGTCTTAAAGATTTTCCTTTTTTTATTCAACTTTGTTAAGTTTCAAAGAGAGATAAAACACAAAATAAAAAAAAAGTTAAGGGGAGGAAGTGACACAAAATTCTCCTGAAGTTTAGGGTATTTTCTAAAATGAATTCTTAGAATTCCTAATTTCTTTAAGTATATTATAGTGATATTGTTAATGCCTATTATTATTATCCATAGTATAAACTTTCATTAGAATGTAATGTTCCCCATTTTTAAAATGAAAAGTTATCCGCAAAGAAGTAATTTGGTCATAGAAGGCTTGATAGAATCTGAAGACAGCAAACACCACTGCAACAAAAGTATTCTAGCCTCTGTGTGTCATATATATATATATGTCTACTCATTAATGCCCACTGTTTCTAAAATACCAGCTACAACACATTTGCATAAAAGTGAAAAATTATATTTTGTGAAATTGCAGGCTTAATTGATTGACTGAAAATTCCATGTAGTTTAACAATTGGCTAGCGTTAATGGTTGCATTACTAGTAGAAATGAATCAGCACGGGAATAGATGAATAACATCTTATGCCATACATAAATTAGTATGCAAAGTTCAATGTTTCAGCAACTACCTAAAAATTACCACTTTTGCAGTTATATTTTAGACTACCCTCTTTGTGGAATAGGACTTAAGATTTCATGTCAGTTATGTCAGTTAATTGTCCTTTTAAAAAATAGCAATATTACTGTATTTAATTTCAAATGTGTAGGAGCGGAGAGAAGTCTGATGATGCCATAATTTATTAGGTTCAGATTGCCTAAATTTTACCTCTACTAAAAAATGACATTTATGTGGAGATTGTTGTCCTATGTCTTTCTCAAGGTAATCTGGCAATTCTTATTCCTGCAGGAAGTGAGTGCATTGGAATGTGAGATTCAGCTACTGAAGAACCTTCAGCACGAGCGGATTGTTCAGTATTATGGATGTCTAAGAGACCGAGCAGAAAAGACCCTGAGCATTTTCATGGAGTACATGCCAGGGGTAAGAGTTCTATGGATTGTTCAGAAAAGTGGTTGTAATCCATCTCAGATCTCAGTAGGATACAGAGTTCTTTACTTTTTTAATGCCTTTCAACTTCATTAGCCAGTTTTATGTAATGATTAAAGGCACCTGGCTAGAAACCTGGAAATACTAAGTTCTAGTTCTGCCTTATGCTCAAAACCAACTGGGTGACTTTAGGCCAATCATTCTCTGTTCTGAGAAAAAGGCAATAGCAAACCACAGCCAAAAATCTTGCTAAGAGCACTAGATGAACTTATCCAGGCAGTCACTAGGAATCAAAAATGACTTGGAGGCACAAATATATAGATGTAAATATATATCTTTCCTGCTTTTCCTGTGAAGGGTTCTGTCAAGGATCAGCTGAAAGCCTATGGTGCACTAACGGAAAATGTGACTCGAAAATACACTCGGCAGATTCTTGAAGGAGTCTGTTATCTTCACAGCAACATGATTGTACACAGAGATATAAAAGGTAAGAGATCCACACAAATCCACATGGCTTCATACTTTCTATATGTTCTGTTATGCTTATTTATGCCATAAAGGACAGGAAATAAATATTGGCTATGTTTTTTTCAAGATGGCATTAGTATCAATATCATAATACTATTCAATAGTTGAACAAATACTATTAACAATATATTAGATGCTATTGAATTCATGTGCATGTAATTCTCCCCCAAATGTATTTGCTGGTATACTCAAAAAGTCATGAATTGGCATTACAAAATAACTTGGTTTTACTTATAAGGAAAAGAGCCACTATATATTCTGCAGTATTATAATCACATTGAGAAATGACAAATTGAAGACATATTGAGTAGCTCAAGAAACAGTGCAAGAGTGGTGACAGGATCTGGAAATAGAACATGTTATATTATGAATGCAATAAGGAATGAAACTTATTTTTTCCTCTTGTACCTTTATTAGTCAAAATCCTCCCCTCTTTACCCAGTCGCTGTTCTTTGTTTCCAAAAGAATAGTTTGCAGTGAATAGTATCTATAGGGCAAGTAATAGCATAACATATTGTTTTCACTGGGAAAACTACAAGAGGCATTATTTTTCATGCTTCAGTCTCCCAACTAAATTTGGGGATATTAAAAAATGTCAGCTTTAAAGTGTAACAAGTAACTCTCTTGGTATATTACTCATCTGACATTTTAATTTTTTTTAGAAGATAGGACCATACTTACAGTTGGAAAATAAAAATGGTTGACAATTGCAGTCTGGAAAAAAAGGACAAAATCAAGCTGGTGCATTTGCAAGGAGCATGAGGAAAAAGGGAAAGTGGTCTAAAGAATATGGTAGAGAACATCTCATCAGCTTTCTTTGGTGTTTTGGGACTGGCTACAATAGTCACTGCAGCTATTTTATGAATAGCTAAGTTCAATCTTCTGAAAGACATTTTGTTACAGTAAACACCAACATTCAAGGATCAAATATTTCCACTAATTTAAAAAGAGTGATTATGCAGTGTAATGTGCTGTGGGTCATACAGTAATGGACTGAGAAAATGGTGGTTTGGATGTATCTCTAAAAAGAAGCATCTTCATCTTTAGGATTTAACAATGCAAGGTGGCTGCAGTGACAAGATAATTCGTATGGAACTCAAGTAATTTTAAACTGGGTTCTAGCTGCGAAGGTTTATAAATCTATACTTTGAGTTGTATACTTGAGCAGCTTATATTTCTTTTATTTTTCTCCATCTCTACACCCACTTCAACTCAGGAGCCAATATTCTTCGAGATTCTGTGGGCAATGTGAAGCTTGGAGACTTTGGGGCTAGCAAGCGACTGCAGACAATCTGCATGTCTGGGACTGGCATCCGCTCTGTCACTGGCACCCCTTATTGGATGAGTCCAGAAGTGATCAGTGGAGAGGGCTATGGAAGAAAAGCTGACATCTGGTGAGAAATAGCTTTGTGCTGCTTGCTTAATATAAAGGATTATTTTCTAGAAAAGGAACTTTCTGCCACAATATTCTGAAACAGTTGGCATTTTATTAACCTCTTTTCTGTAAACTATAATGGATTCAACAGGCTAATTTATTTTTCCCTTCTCCCCTTTTTCCCTCCCCCTTTCCCCACTGCTGTTCAATGCTCTGTGTTCCTGGATATTGCTCTGTTTTTCTGCAGAACTTTGCTTTCTTTTGTAATAGCTCAGAAGCCATCCAAGCATGCTTATGTCTCTCTTCCTTCCTCTGGTTCTGCAGTAGCTATTCTGTCAGTGCTCAATCAGCTTATTATTAGAAGAGGAGCTGCTAATGAGAGTTTCCATAACCTTCAGTATAATTGCCAAGTATAAACTTGACTTTTTTGTCACTAAAGCTTATTACCTTATCAAAGCTTTTTCTGGATGGTTACTTTTGAAACAAGAATCTTCTATATCCCTACCAGATAAAAAGGAGAGATATTAAAACAGCAGCAGCAACAACAACTCTTGGCTAGGGTCCTCCAAGTACTTTACAAAATCTCTAAATAATAAATGTGTCATGGAGTTGCAGAGGTGGACATGAATGTTTGCTTCTTGTTTCCTCCGTATCCAAGCAGAAAGGATCCTACACTAAATAAGCAGAATGGGCCATGTTTCAATAAACCAGTCTTTAGGAGCAGTAAGGAGCATGGTGGTGATATGATAATGGCACAGATAGATGTCATAACAATTGACTATTTCAGGGAATCAAATTGGTGATGATAAGTAAAATTGGTTTATTAAATGTAACAGGCTTAAGAAGAAAAGCAAAGATCTAGAAATGTGGCAATCTCATCAGTGAGGGCTGCCAAAAAGAAGCAAGACTACATGCAATCACAGGTTGCCCATCATAAACTGTATTTTTTATATAAAAAGCCTGCAAGCTTTTTAGCATTAACTGTGTGCATTTCCTCTGTTGGTTTCAATTGATTGGGGACAGCTGCTTTAAAATATTTCAATATAACCTAAATTGTGATATGTTGAAATACAGTTTCTGTATTCACTGATCAAACAGGGCACACAAGCTTGTCATTATCATAAGCATCTGCAACTGCAGGATAATAAAGAAGCTCTAATTAACTTTTTTTTCAGTCAGGGATTAGGACATAGTGGGTCCTAATACATTAAAGTAAATACCAACATTCAAGGATCTAATATTTCCACTAACCTAAAAAGATTAGTTATGCAATGTGCTGTGCAATGGGTCATATTTTTACAGAAATGTGTAAATTTTGGTGTGATTTTAATAAAAGTATATTAGTTTTTCTTGAGCAGTAGTTTTTCTCATGGTTTTGAGAAGTTCTTTTGGCAAAGAATGTTAAAAAAAATAGCTTTATAAGATAATGTGCAGTCATATGTATTTGTACTATTGAGTAGCATTTGTTTACAGCATCTTTTTAAGGTTATTTTTTTAAGATAAAGTAATTTAAAAGATAAATTGCTTTTATTGATCTGTGCTAGAATGCTTCATTCATAAAATTTCTTCAAGAAGGCTTGCCTTTTGGGGCTGTGTTCATACTTTTCTGGAAACCAGCTGCCATACGAACCGTTTCATTTCATTTCATTGTGACCAGTATTTCTAATCCTTCTGATGCTGTTTACTTCTGCTTCTGTAACAAACACCATTCTTTGGTTTTACTGACTGTAGTCTTAACTTTTCATCAGGGTCTTTTTCCTCCTCCCCTATTTTTTTTCCTTCATCATTTCATTTAGCTATGGTCAAGGATCTTCAGCATATATCTTTATTTATGATTAAAGATCAATCACAAATTTGTAAACTACAGTTAAACTCTGAGTCTGTCCCATTTAAAATGTTAAAATAGTCTGTTGTCATGTTTTCAAAGCAGCACACAAAAGTTAACTATCCTGAGAATTATGTGATACTTCGCATCTGAAAGTAGTAAAATAGTTTAATTTTCTTCCAATCTGCCTGGATAATCCACAGAACAGGACTAATGTATTTTAAATGTAAGTCCTTACAGGAAAGGCAATATAATAAAATGAGGTTTATTCTTTCAGTTTTCCCCAGTTCTCATGGGCAAGCTGTCTTGTCCAAGGGAATTTTAAAATATTTATATTTATTTTAAAAGTGGAGGAACATAGTATCTAGCTTTAAATAATTGTCCTTATAGGAATGGTAAGTGTGATTACTTTGTTGGTTCCAGGTAATGTTTTTAAACAAAACGTTCTGTGATATACTGTTTGCTTCATTTTAGTGTTCCATATCTTTGACTCTTTGCAGGAGATACTGATTAGCCAAGTCATACCCTAGAGAGGTAAGCAACTCTACCAAAAGCCACATGATAGCAACTTATTATCATTTTTGGCTTTCCACTTTCAGAAATGTTTATTTGCCAAAACTAACAGGATTAAACCTGAAAGGAACAAAACAGCCAATAAGTGTTTTAAATATTTTAAAATTCCAAGTCCTCACTGCTCTTCAAGGCATTCTGTTGCCTAATCTAGCTGCCTAGGATATACATCTAGAAGCAGAAAGAATACCCTTTAGTTGCACTACCTCAATTTTCTTTTGTATTCATGTAAACTCCATAAAGAAATGGGGCTAACTGTTTTGCTGAAAAAGATTTAAAATTGCTGAAATCAATTTTCCTCCTTTAGAGATTTTTAAAGTCATTTTAATAATTTAATAGCTATTGAGGTTTGAAACATTGAAGCTTAATACCTATTGAGGATCCAAGTATTCTTAACAAAATTTTAAAAAATCAGAGCTTTCTAGATCTTCATATGGTGAAAATCTATTCCCAATATTTGAAGTTCTGGACCTATGTGATTTTGTTTCTTTCAGTGATCCATCTCTATGGCTTTATTGTGCCATAATTTTTGGTTTTGTAAAATTAATATCCAGTAATGCAATCTCCCTTCAATATTGGACTATAGCTTTTATGACTCTTAAAACTAATTAGAATGTATGAATTAATTATTTAATCAGTATATAGCAAGATGGGAATGTTGAGTCCTGCAACTGAGGGACAATGAAAATCTGGTTTAAGGCTTCAGTTAATATAGAAGTTAATAGGTGCCAAAGTGCATCCTGGCTTAACCACTTTAAGGGAAAGTATTTATTTTGAAATCACTTTTTATGGGTTACGTCTCATAGTGAGTGTTAGCATTGATGAGCAAATATTTATTTATTAATCAAATTTATATAGCAGCTCATCTCACTGAAGGTGACTCTGGGAGGAACACAACAAAAGGGATAAATTATATATAAAATCACAGATATAAAAAAATAAAAATCAGATAGCAATAATTATATAAACAGAAATACAAAACCTAGTCAAAGAGAGAATAAAACTAGTGAGCATAGCAACATGCCTGGTTCCTGGGAGCTCTGGCAGCCCTAGGCCTGCTCGGATAATCAAATCTTGAGATCCTTTCAGAATATAATATGAGTGGAGCCATAATTTTGGATAGGAATAATGTTTCATAAGGCAGGCACTATGGCAGAGAAGGCATATCTCCAGGAACCCACCAAATGTAGGTCCTTAGTTGATGGGATCTGCAGCATAGGCCTCCTAGCCACAACTGCCACTTGCTCATTAATCAGGGGTCATGAGTCTAGGAAGACCTCCAAGTTGCACATGGGATTTGTATGTATGCATGTATGTAACACCATCCAGCACCAAATATGGCATACTCCTTGAAACAATGAGCCCAAAATCCAGCCATTCAGTCTTGCCAAGCCACTCAGACCTTCACAATTTCCAGACTTTAGGATAAGACATTCACAGCTTCATTTTATTTGCCAGGGGTGGAGATACAGAATTGTGTATCATACTGATGATATCTCACCCAGTGGGATGGATGAGTTCATTCAGCAACCAGACATAGATGTTTATGAGAGAGAGAAGAAAATACCAAACCTTGTGGCACCTTACGAAGCAGAGGCTGAGGGAGGGATCTCTCCTTCCCTATCATCAACTGGAATCAACCCAGAAAGAAGGAGGCAAATCAGCACAACAACATGCTGCTCAACCCAAATCCTCTGAACTGAACCAGAAGGATACCATGGTCAGTGGTATCAAAAGCTGCTAAGGGTTCAAATAGGTCACAGATGGATACATTAACCCCATCCCATCTAAGCTAGAGCTCATTCAAAAGTGCAAAGAGTGCTGTTCCGGTTTTGATGTCACAGTAAGATGGACGTAGAGAAACAGGGCTCTTCCTCCTGCGCCCAATTTCTTCCTGCTGTGGCCCCAAAAAGGGCCTGAAGTTGCCTCAGAGAGAGGACTCTTGTAGATTGCAGGGAGACGGCGGTCGACCCGCTTGATCCAAAGAAGCCCTCAGAACCAACAGGAGAAAGACTGACCACATCCACACAACCAGTTGGAAGCTGCTGACCTCCGGAGAAAAAAGCAGCATCTAACAAGCATGAACAACATGATTGAATCTGGGTGAGATTATTTTCCTTCCTCTACGATTTTAAAACCTGTTCTTAGAAAAAAAGCGACCTGAAAGCAAGGAAACTCCCAGAACTAAAGGAAGCAGGTTCCTTTTTTACCCTTTCTCCCAGAATAAAAGTGGCAGTTTAAGCTTTCTTCTGGGAAAATAGAGAAGGCTATAAAATTAATTTGGACACAGCAGAGAGAAAAAGTTTGGGGAGTGATAATACTTTTAAAAATCTTTTACTTCCTTGGAGTATCAGAGCAAAGCCTTATAAAAAAATTGTGGCTGGAAAGTTACAAAATGGACACCTAATGACATCTAATGGTGAAAAAAAGGAATTACACTAAGTTCTGTTTATATTTTGTCTGGAGTGAGGGAACTTGGCCTGAAGCCCAGACACAGATAAAGACTAAATCCTTTGATGTCTCTGAATTTCATAGCCTTGTAGCTGGAAAAAGAGAAAAACTACTTGTGCTGTCTTTTCTTCAGGATGGATTACAACTAAAACTACAAGCTATTTTGAGCCATC